AGAACTGATAGAGTTACTTAAAGAAAAAAATTCAGTTGGGTGTAAATGAGTTTTTACTATAAAATACAAAACAGATGGTACTGTTGAAAGGTATAAAGTCAGGTCAGTGGCTAAGGGTTACACTCAGAACTCATGGAGTGAATTATCAAGAAACTTTTGCTCTAGTTGCCAAGATGAATACAGTTAGAATTTTTTTATCATTGGCTACAAATTACAATTGACATCTTTAACAATTTGATGTAAATAATGCTTTTTTGCATGGTGATTTGGAAGAAAAAATATATATGAAGATTTCACTGGGATTTGGAGGTCACCTAGAAGCAAACAAAGTATGCAAGCTGAAAAAGGCTTTATATGGCCTTACACAGTTTTCTAGGGCTTAGTTTGAGAGAATTACCAAAGTGATACTAGCAATGAGATATAAGTAGAGTCAAGGAGATCACACATTGTTTATCAAGCATTTTGATTCAAGGAGAGTCACAATTTTATTAGTATATGTTAATGATATAATTGTAACTAAAGATGATAAAAAAGAGAGAAAATCTCTAAAACAGTATTTGGCTAGAGAATTTGAGATAAAAGAGCTAGATAGATTTAAGTACTTCTTAGGAATTGAAGTAGCTCACTCATGGCATGGTTTTTCATCTCACAACAAAAATACATGATGTATTTTTTGAAAGAAATTGGAAAACTCACATGTAAACCTACAAATACCTTTATAAATCCTAATCATAAAATTATAGAAGCTAATAAAGATGCTATTATAGATAGAGAGATGTACCAAAGATTAGTTAAAAGACTCATTTATCTCTCACATACTAGACATGATATAGCATATGCTATGAGTGTGGTAAGTCAATTTATGCATAGTCCTAAAGAAGTGCACCTACAAGTTGTCTACCGTGTGTTGCACTATTTGAAGGCTAATCTTAAGAGAGATAACTTATTCAAAAGAAATTCAAAGTTAATTCTAGACGCATATATAGATGCTGATTATGCAGATTTAGTAATTAATAGAAGATCCACTTCAAGCTATTGCACTTTTTTAAGTGGTAATCTTGTGACTTGGAGGAGTAAAAAAATAAAATATGGTGGTAAGATCAAGTGTTGAAGCAAAGTTCAGAGAATGGCTCAAGGAATTTGTGAACCACTATGGTTAAAGATTATCCTAGAAAACTTAAAGATCAAAAGAGATAGACCAGTGAGACTCTATTGTGATAATAAGTCTATAATAAGCATTGCACACAATCCTATGCAATATGATAGAACAAAACACATTAAAATAGACTGGCATTTCATAAAGAAAAAACTAGATAATAGGTTAATTTGTACACCGTATGTATCAACCAAAGGTCAACTTACAGATATGTTGACTAAAGGTCTCAGTAGTGTAATATTTCAAAAAATTATTTTCAAGCTTAAAATGAAAAACACTTATGCACCAACTCGAGGGAGAGTGTGAAAAAATACTTATTTACAGTTTGTTATAATCTTGTAATTTATATATTTATATTTGTATTTCTAAAATTAAGTATTTGTATCCCTAAAATTAAGGACAAAAAATTAGGATAGACAATCTTTTAATTATAGGATCAATTTTTAAGAAAATTTAATTTCTTAGTTTAACCTCTAGTTAGTTGTATATAAACTTAAAGTGATTGTATAATTCTTAATAAACAATTTTTCACTATACATTCAATTTTACCCTTAATTTTTCATACAATTTTATTTATTAGTTTTTTCACACGTCATAGCTATATCCCATCATTTTGGCTACCCACAACTGTTGAGCTGGAGTGACAGTTTGCACTCTAATGATCAGTTCTCATTTTGAAATGTCTCCCCACCAGATACGCATTCCAATTCTTGACTGCCAACAGTACAGCTAATATCTCCTTGTCATTTAGTGACAGTGCTTGGTGCTTAGGTGCCAATGACTTGTTGAAATAAGCTATTAGCCTTCCATTCTGTGTTAGTACTGCTCCCACACCACTACCAGAAGCATTCGTCTCCACTACAAACTTTTTGGAAAAATTTGGTCTTGCCAACGTTGGTGCTGTAGTCATAGCTGCCTTTAGCTCATTAAAGGCTTTATGAGCTGTATCGCTCCATCCATAAGCATCTCTTCTTAATAAATCAGTGAAGGGTTTTCTATGATCCCATACCGTTTGATAAACCTCTTAAAATACCCTGTCAACCCTAAAAATCCTCTTAGTTCCTTAAGATTCTTGGGTTGTGCCCAATCAAGCACACACTACACTTTCTCCTTATCCATTTCCACCCCTTGAACACTAATCACATGGCCAAGGTAGTCGACTTTCTTGGCTCCAAAATCACACTCGCTGTGCTTCACATAAAGCTGATTGTTCTTGAGTATCTTAAGCACCTTCTCTAAGTAGATTAAGTGAACATTCCAACCAGGCAAATATACCAGGATATCATCAAAAAATACAAGTACGAACTTCCTCAAATGGGGCTTAAAGATGTAGTTCATTAGCTCTTAAAATGTAGAAGGGGCATTAGTCATGCCGAAGGGCATTTCCAGGAACTCGTAATGACCGTCATGAGTTCGAAATGCAATCTTGTGTATGTCATCCTTATGCATCCTGATTTGGTGGTACCCTGACCTCAAATCTAGCTTAGTAAAGAATTCATCACTGGTAAGCTCATCTTGCAATTCTTCAACCATTGGATAGGAAATCTGTCTTTAATAATCAAATAATTGAGCTGCTTGTAATCCACACATAGCCTGCGGGAACCATCATTTTTTTTTACCATTACAGTAGAAAAAGCAAAAGAACAGTTGCTGTTTCTTATAATGCCAGCCTCTAACAATTCTTTGATCATCCTCTCTATTTTGTCTTTTTTTATAGCTGGGTATCTATAAGGCTTGATCCTAATTGTTTGCTTTTCATCCACCAAGGGAATCTTGTGATCTTGGGGTCTACTCAGAGGTAACCCTTTAGGATTTGCAAACAATTCTTTATACTTATTCAACAACTGATCTAACGCTTATCTTTCATTAAGTTCTAACCCTTGTCCTTCCACGCTTTTTTTTATTAACAATTAGGCTCCCTCAATCATCATCAAGGTGCTAGGTTGCTGGACAGAAGCAGTCATTAAATTTTGTAGGGCTTTCAATGCTTGCCTGTCATTTAGCAACTATATTGCCCCAGGTCGAATGTCCCCCACTGTTTTTCAATTCTGATAATACTGAAACCACATGGTAAAAGCTGTAAAATCCTATAAGATTGGACCTAGTGTCACCAGCCATTGAATTCCCAACACTACATCACACTATTTCAATGGTAGTACCATGAAATCTATGAGAAAATCAAGCCCTTGCACTGAACAGTTCACATTTCTACAAGTACCCCGAGTAGTTATACTTTGATCATTAGCCACTGTAACCACCCCAATCTTACAATGTTGGCTAATAACTAAACCCAGCGTCTTGGCAACATTGGAGTCCACTAAATTGTGTGTACTTCGTGAGTTGATCAGGATAACCAATACATGCTTCTTGATAACTCCTTTAACTCTCATAGTTTGATACCCAGTTGTTCCCATCATAGCATGTAAAGAAATAACTGCATGAGTGTCACCAACATTCTCCCACTTTAACGCTTCTATACTGTCAATGCAGTCATAAAACTCCTCCACGTCTTCCTCCTCTTCACACCCTTATGTTATCAATTGGTACAGCTGTGACTTCATGCATTTATGGTCTAGAAAATACTTAGCCCCACACCAATAACGTAGCCCCTTCTTCCTTTTTTCCTCCATTTCAGCCTTAGTAAGCCTTCTAGGACCATTCATTTGGTTGAAACTAGTGTTTGGTTTTGGAAAGGGTGTTGGTTGTTTAGGATGTGCAGATTCAAGTGGTTTGGTCTAAATGGTATTTTAGGGCTAGGCAATAAGGGTGGTAACTGTGGGTTCCTTAGGTTTGTTGTGGCTGCTTGGGAATTGATATTGGTCATGGGAAGTTTGGTGTGTGAAATTTTGGCAAGGTGTAGTGTTTGGTTAAGTGTTTTTGGCTTGAAGAGTCTAAGGGTTAGTGAGATATCAGGTTTCAAGTTACTGATGAATATGCTAACAGCATGATCATCACTCAACTGCAGTATGTTAAGGATCCCCATGAAATCATCATGGTATTGCTCCACATTGCCAAATTATTTCAAATTAACTAGGTCTGCCATGGGATCTTTATATTCCCCACATACAAATCAAGGAAGTTCTTGAACTCCTCTTTAAGCTCCTTTCTTAATACATCAATCTTCGCATCCATCTTTTTATCAATCTTCTCAATTTGCAGCTGCAAAACATCTTTTTGTAATCTGGAAGTCACATTGTCTGCCATGGTTGCCAATAACGTAGCTTTGACAGCTTCGTTACAATCCTCTGGATTTAATCAATTAACTAAAGCAATTGAATGAAGAACAAGAACAGAATTGATCAAGAAAGAAAAGAACCAAGAAAAGGAAAAAAAAGTCTTGAGAGAACGAGAGAGAAAAAAGTCTCCAGAAATCTGTTTTTATTTTTTAATTTCCCCCAATAATTGTCAACTAGCTCTTTAAACTAACTCCATATAATAGAATTATAAATGAAATGACAGAATTGCCACTAATGGGCTGCAAACACGAGTATAAACCAACTAACTACTGTAACAACTCATGTAAGACTTGCATCAGTGAGGGGAACAGATCATAAGATTGTCTCTTCATAGGGAACAATATTGAGGCATATCAAAATCAAAGACCGAGATACCGTTTCAGTCGTCATTTTTCTCCATTGGCGATCTGATTGTTGCTCGTCCACACTTCTTTTTTAAAACTTGTCTTTTCTTTTCGTTAACTCTGGATTTCCATCACATTGTTTTTGAATGTATTGAAATTAGCAAAAGAGCAAATAACAAGGATTTGAATAAATTAGTATTCTTCACTTTGAACAGATTGTCTGGTATCATTTTCTTTAAGTGATGCACTCCACATTTATGTTCGGAACATAATGTTACTAAACGGAAGAACAAGAAACTTCGTATATAGCCAGAAAAATTTATATATGATTTTCCATTAAAATGAGGAAAATACGCAATAGCAGTATGTTCACCATCCATGACATGCTTCAAAAGTATCCAAAAAAAAAAAAAAAAGGAAAAGAAAACAGATCAACTAACTCTTGGCCAGTTGGTTGGCTTTGTTAATTTTATGGCAGTAAACTTCAAGCTATGGTTGAAGTTAAGCTATCTCTTTGAACATGAAAACGTTATTGGCAAGTGCTTCAAGCTGGAAACGTCAAACCTCTCCATGAACCTCTGGTCGGACACCCTTGCTTTGGCAGCAGCAAACCGCTGGTACTCATCAAAAATGGAAGATAGGCACCATCTCTGCAATTTTCTTAAGCATCCCACAAGGCAGCCTGTACGGTGCTGCATGGCATATATAGCAATATCTTGGTGAGCAAATAAGTTGGGTTGAAAATTTAGGCAGAGATTTGGAAAGAAGGAAAAATATAGGACCAAATTAAATTACCTTTCCTCGCTTGCAATGGATTAGTAGTGGATGGTTCTTTACATCTGGTATGGAAACAGATAAGGCCAAATATAAGCAGATGACAAACAAGAAAACTATAGGCTACAAGTAAAAAGAGTTTATAATACCAAGGACTACTTTCAATGCTTCCCGGATTGTTTCCTCTGGAATGTTTACAAAAGGTTCCTGTACAAAATATTGATTATCAATTTCAAGAATGTATTGCCCTTTAAGATGCAAGATTTTGTTTTAATCACAAATATGGCAGACAATTTTTGGCCAATATGACATCAAGTAAGGATTGCATCAATTGATCACTCTAGCCCATACAAAATATTCCTTTTCTATCCTTGGAGTGAACTTAACTCAACTAAGCTTTATATTGCTTTATTCAGAACAGATCTATGAATGTAAGATATCTCATGAAACAACCACATCAAAACAAATACTAAGTAATTTGGTAAAAAATCATTGTGAAAATTGCAGTACTCTTCACCATAAGCACCTGCAATAAAATTTATGCAGACTACAGCCTGAACAATAGCATGAATGTCCATAGTTCTACTTCTGATTTTAATAAATTGACAAAACTGTCAAAAAAGAAATGCCCATTAGGGAAGAAAGATATAGAGGGGGTAAGTTTCTTGCCTCGGTACTTTATAGATAAGCTTGATCCCCCCTCATATAGCATAAACCTCCTTAAATTTCAGGAAGAACTAATTCCCCTAACCACCACTAGGAAGAAAAAAAAAAGAACAACTGAAGCAAAAACTGCTGTTATTTTTCAGAGAGGGATAATGATGCAATGAAAGCTGCTGCTTTGTCATTAATTTGCTTTTCCAAAGGATTATATAATCTTATATTTCAGCAAAGCAAAACAAAAGCACAACTATAACAGAAATAGTCAGTAACTGCATGCTTGGACACAGTTCAAGGATCACAAATTCTGTGGATATAGAGAAAATAGAACTGAATAACAAATTTAACATTTTGATTTAAGATTATGAAAAACCAATATCGATGTCAAGTTCAGTAGATGGAATTGGTAACAGCAAGAGAATTAAAAACTTGAACCTAATCAATAATTAGATGAACGAATTAAGCCCAAATAAATTATAATAAAAAGAATTCAATGGCATACCTTGCATCCATCGATACCGAATTGGAAAAGCCGGATTCCATTAGCCTTCAAAAACTCATTATTGGTCTCTGGATAAGGCTCGGGGCAGAGATATCTACGAAAGGAAAATAAAATGCAATTAAAATCAAGGAAATTTCAGGTTTGTTAACCAGCAGCAAGGTAAAAAAACAAAAAGGAGAAGAGGAAAGTGAACATTTATGAGAAAAATAAAAGTTTGAAATTGGCATGGTTAAGTAACTCACATAATTGAGCGGAGCCCTATCGATTGCAAGAAACTAAAATTGGCGGAATCAGGGAAACCAGACCTGAAAACTCCATTATCGACCATAGCAAAATTCAAAGGAGGGACGAACAACTCCTCTCCGACACTCTGGCTATCATCTCCTATAACCGGAGAATTATCCGACGGCGGTGAGACCTCGATCGCCTGGAAGACCTCTCCCTCAAATCCTTCGACTCTCATGTCTTTTTGGCGCCAAAATTTTGAACGACAGAAAAGAAAAAAGAATGACAAGATGAGGGATCTTTGGGTGGGGGGGAGAAGGGGAATATAAAGAAAGAATCTGCCAAGGATCTTATCTTCTACTAATTCATGAATATTTGGTTCTGACCCTTCAATGCAGTATAAAAACAATAACTAAATAAAGAAAAGAGAGGACCCAAACGGATTGGGATCGAAGGAAAGTGCTGATGAGTGCTAGATGAGTGGGATCCTAATTCTGGACTCTCGAGGCATTTTCTTTGTTTACGTTTTTTTAGTATAAATAAATAAATTTAGATTTTGGATGACAGACAGAATCAATTGACGTGGAGACAAAGAATAGTATGTAAGGTAATTAAAAACTACTAGTGGCCTGGTGGGTTGGGGTGAGCCGTGAGGAGTTCTTATTTGGAGAAAGAGAAAAGAGTGTGGCTGGTTGGGGATTGGTTTGTAGTGCGAAGGCAGAGGCTTCAGTTTTGACAATTTTTTTTTTTAATTCAAAACCAAAATTGATGTGGAAATTTGTTAAAAAGTTTCACTACTTGTGGTAGCGGTGCTGGTGGTAGGTCACTTTCAGCCGAATTGCCCCTGTTTTCAGCTCCAGAATGGCATCTGAAACAATGGTATTGCATCCACTTGCTTAAAACTGGAAGAAGACGATTGTCTCAAACAATGGGTGATTAAGTTTCAAAACAAAGCCAAAAGATGCACGACATGTGAAGGTTTATTGGAAAATTACTTGTTTCTCGTTATTAACTTTGCTTCATCTGGGGACTTTTCAGAGCAGTCCCTTGATAATTAATTGCTAGTAAAGGGCACCAAAGAAACTTTGGGCATGCTTATCATAGAGACGAATATGCTTGACTTCAATTTCTTTTTCCATCTCGCTGGGCCATCTCAAGTGATAAGGTAGAGGATAGACGTCATGTCTGATTTCGGTGCACCCCTCTTTTACGGGAAAAAGTAGATCATAAGCTTTCTATCCTCCTGGTTATTGCTGGCAAGTTTGACTAATCAAGTGAGAGAATACAGAAGAAAAGAGTTTGGAAAATGGAAGAAATTCCTGCAACAACGTGCCCCCGGGTCCTTTCACCTCCTGCAATCCATTTTTGGTAGGGTGGAGCATTCAATGGTAAACATTAGTAATCGTTTCACATCTTGTCAAAGCATTAAAGAATTAATTAGGGAGAAAGTTTTCTGGCCACCTGAATTACCCAAAAAAAAAAAAGACGACAGACGTAAAACATATTTTGCCGCCCAAAAATTGCCTTAACACGTCCTTTGTCTTGGAGTAAAATTGCTAAACAAATGAAGTCCAAAATGTCAAAATATTAACAGATATATTGAAACATTCATTTTGAAGCAGAAGGCAGTCTAACTAGATTAGATATATTCTACCTTCCAAAAAGACCACGATCCTTACAAGCCACAAATGAAGATTGAAGGCTTCACAAGGCATTTGAGAAAAAAAGGCCCATCAAAACTCCACCGACATATTGATACATAAAAAAATTATATAATATCAATAATTCACAATGGACCTATCAATTTCCCTAACCTGCCGATTTCACCTTCATGACATTTACAAGCTAGTTTCTAGACAAACAAGAAAAGATGCAATGTTTCCACGTTGATTATAGGATTGATTTCAATTGCTTGTGAATTTTACCATTCATGCTGCAAGTACAAGCACTTTAATTGTTCCTTGACTGTTTGCTGTCAGCATTGTGGGGCTATCACTCTTTCAACAGACAGCACTGATGAAGTAAGATCCGGCATCCTCATCGGCATCAGACATGTCAGAACCAAATCTATGCCAAGCTGCAGGTTTAGGGATAGCCTGCAAGAGTCAATGTAACTAAATTATACAATGATTTGATGATAAAATACCATATTCCAATATGTTAACTTACCTTGTGATAAACAAATGTAACTAAATTATAAACTGATTTGATGCTAAAATACCATATCCCAATATGCTAACTAACCTTGTGATAAACAAATACTTCATTTGTTTTGCTGCCACAAGCAATGTACTCATTGTTTACTGTGAGACCCACAAAATTCTTCTCATTTGTGTGACCTCCAAAAGTGCGCAGCTGACAGAATGAAAACAAAAAAAGATTAGTTTTAATCGGATAATATGGAATGCAGGTCAGATAGTAACTCCAAAGACATTCATGTTTGATAAATAAAAAGTCGCATAAAGAATTTTTCCTCCTAAAGAACAATTGTTTGCCTTCGCTTTCAGTAACCTCATATTGCCAACTTAATTCTTTCACCTAGTTTTCTCAAGGAAATGACAAATATCCATGTCGAACCATGTAACTTATTCTGTTCTTTTTCTAAAATCAAAATTGACAAAAATAAAAGGATGTTGCCAGTAAAATGCCCCGGTAACTACCACTACCCTAAGAGAGCCTTGTTAGCAGTTAAAAACAGTATAAACTCCAGATATGAGATAGTCTACTAACTGGTAAATTTTCTTTTACATTCCATAAGCGCAGCGTGCTGTCAGTAGAAGCAGAAGCCAATTCATTGTTAGACAAAAATTTCACATATGAAACAGCTTTCTTATGCCCACCAAACACATACAGTGGTTGGCTGATATTTCTCGAGTCATAATAGTGAACGTGATGGTCAGCAGAACCAACCTGCAGAAATTCAAAAACCTGAAACTTCAACAAACCCTTCTTTATTCATAATTTTGTCTGAAAATAATCTAAGGATTTCTGTTAAAGTTGAATTCTGATCAAAAGATGAAATATTTATGTCTCCATTCTTTCCGAAAGGTGGGAAAAGAAAACTCACAATTTTTTTTTCTAATTGGGAAACTTTTGAAAAGTTAAAATTACTTAGTTTGAATCGGAAACTAAAAAGAAAAAAAAAAGAGTTCACCTATCTGACAGCTTATAATGTAAGAATTACAGTCAATGGAAACAACTAATGTAGAAATTATTTAACCAAGACATACTGCCACATGAACACTGGATCCAGGATTGTACTTGACAGAACATATTTTTGCTTTCATGTCGATTTTGAGAACACTGGCTTCTTGTTTTGGGCACCAACTTTGACCTATCAAATACAAATGGGGTTAGACAATCTGAAACCTAAATTGCAAAATCAAGTACAAGCTTGGTCTAGTGGACCAACAGTAGGTTGAATGACTTCACTAACAAACATAAAATCCATCGCAACAACTACATAGCTATTCTATGAAACAGTAACAGGGTGTTCTCATGCTGGAAACAGTTTTTGCAGGGATCCCACATCTCAGAACTTTGTAGTCTGTAATCTATTGAGAACATGAATTACAACAAGTTTAGACCTAAACCATTCTGAGAGATTTGTTCCAGCTTGCTTTCAGTCTCAGGATAAAAAGTACAAAGCCCAGCTTTTGGAAGTTAACAATTGTCAACACCATGCTTAATGGATCTAATTTAATTGCTCATTTGGCTTAATTATAAAATGCAACTTGTGTTTCTCATATAGAACCGATAGTACAAAGGTGATTTAAAATGTCTTTAACAGACTATTACGGAAAATAGACCAACAGTCCCCTTGCCTCAAGTCTCCAGTTACTTTTCACCATTAACCAGCCATTAACCATAGTCCCCGCATTGCCAATCTCATCTCTTTCAGATACACAGCAACAGAAGCTCAGTCAATACAATCAAGTTTTACAGAAAATCATTTTTACCTTGTAGTCATCACTACCAGATACAAGCATTGAAGGTTCAATGCGAGAAAAACCAACACTCCAAGCTCGCTTTTCATGTTCCTCATATTCCATCAAACTCTGTAAAGTTAAGATCGATTTTATTGAAGATTAAGCAACTGTAGATGACAGGAGCATGCAGCCATGCACAATAGTAAATATGCTTATGCACAGCAACCTGCATGAAAATTATATTGCGGGGCTAGAAAAATGAAGAGTTATCATTCATGCCTGCCGAGTTGTTATGTCCCAGTCGGTTACCATACCATCATAATCACTACTAGCAATATGGTTTTTTGTGCGCTTATTCCAACTCAAGCAACTAAGCTTAGAATGGGTGCACATTTCAACAATAGGACAATGCACATCTGCTGGTTCATTCACAATCTGCAGAAGACCAAATAGGTAATCGTTGAACAGTGAATGAAAAACAGAACTACCATTAAAGGACCCTAATGCATGCATCATCATCATAAAAAAATGACCAGCTAATACTGTTCAGGTAAGAATTAATTGATCAGGTTAATCAAAGCTCTGAAAAATTACCGAAACAGGATTAGATGGTTATGAATCCCCTTTATGAAAATGTTTGCACTATTGTAAGAGCTTCAGAAATCATGAACTCCACTAAACAAACCTAAAATTCATCCAATGCTTACTGAGGAAAACTCGAAAACCTTGATGCACCTTGACACTCCAGCAGTAGCAAACAGCTCATCATCATGATCAAATTCTATACTGCACATTCATTCTAGTTGCTAGAAATTCTAAAGATGCGGGGGGAGAGGAAAATTTTGTGAACGGAAGTTTAATATGATCATAACTTTGATCACAAGACTTCAACTTTTCAAGTAAGTCTAACTATATAATTTAACCAGATAAAACCACAGAAAAATGATTAAACAAGTCAACTCAAGATTAGTCAACCACGTTTTTTTTTTGTAAGGAAAGAGGTCTCAGAAAACATAACCAAAGGACCCAAACTTTGTGCAACTCCCACTGGTTAATGACTCTCATGAATATGAAGAAATACATTGAATGATACACTTTTGACTCACCTTGAAACAATTTTAGCAGAGTGGAAAATATCGCCATGCCTAAGTTTAGCAATGACCCTCAATCAACTAATTTGAACAGAAAAAATAAAAGATAAGTATCTAAAGCAGAAAACTACAAATATTACATAAAAGGAAAGAACAGTCACAAAGTAAGATCCAGAACATTTCCCCCCCCCCCCCAAAAAAAAAAGATTAATTTTATGAAATGCAATCACTGGTGGAAAAGTTATGTACCTATATCGTGTAAAAGCAGTTATCACTAACTGAAAATCCTCAAGACCAGGATTATAACCATCTCTATTCATTGTAATTGCATCTTTATCTTCCTGTTTATTAAGTCCTTTGGTCCAATGCCGCTGCTTTTGCAAGTAACACTCCTTTAGGTCATTAAACTGTGGCAAGAGATAATAATTATAAAATTCAGCCACGAGAGTAAATTTAAATCAACTATTCTTTTGTGAAGGATTGACTGGACTATTTATCTGAAAACAGAATATATGGGAAATGAAACTCTAACAACAACGAGAGGTCTTCAATTGCTCCATAAATCTTTTGAACACAAAGCTTCTAAGAATAGTTGGTGAACAGAATGCCAGCACAAATAGAAACACACAAAATTTCTAGCCATCAAATGTTTCAAGGGGCCAATTATGAATATGCGAACTCAATGGAATGATTAAGTCTTGTGTGCATGCACTTCCGCCAGAAGACTGTTAGTAAATTCGCTTTTCATTGTTTTTTATACTTAATGCACTTTTCATTGTGGGACCAAGATATATGGACCTTCTCACATTTATTTATCACCAAAAAATACAGCATTGCACCAAGCAACAGGAATGTTCAAGATATGAAAATAAGCAAGGCAACTAACCTGTGCATGGACCTGCCTCTTTCTTGCTACTGCCAATCCTGACTTAGCATCGTATGCTGAATCTGACCCACCGAGGGCATCCTTACTTCTGAATCCCAGTGAACTTGCTGAACCCATCCAGCCTTGTAAGTTGCGAGCACCAGATGTAATGCCATTGTTATATTTATCAATAAATGAAGGCAAGGTTTTTGCCACTAAGGAACCATCAGCAAGCATCCTCAGTTTCACAGGGCATCTCTCTTTTGCCCTATGCAATTCTATGCTACATTTCTCAACAGCAGTTATAACCTTCTTAATATATTGAAGATCAGTTTGAATCTTCACTAAAATAAAAAATTAAAAAACACACACACACACAAAAGACCATCAATCAAAATATAAAATAAAACTTGCCCTGACCATCCTCCCACCCCCCAAAATAAAAAAGACTAATGATAGGCAAAAAGATTAATTTAGA